CTTAGAGACCAAAAGTTTAAAGGAGACTACTTGGAGTTTATGGGCAGTATTATTGAGAATTGGGCTGGAAAGGGCCCGGAATGTGAATTGTGTGTCGATGATGGTATGATAAATTATGTTTCACATATGGGTGTATATCATCATGAGAAACCTGATCAGATCAGAGTTGTCTTTGATTGTTCTGCTATGTATGGTGGGGTGTCACTGAATGATTACTTATTAAAGGTTACTGATTTATGAATGGTATGTTGGGCATTTTGTGCAGATTCAGAAAAGAGAACATTGCTTTTATGACTGATATAGAAGCTATGTTTCATCAATTTTATGTTAGCAACTCCTATAGAAATCTTCTAAGATTTCTTTGGTGAGACAATGGGGACGTTAAAAATGGAGGTTCACTAGAATATAGACTTAAAGTCCATCTCCCGGCTGTTCTAATTTTTGCCTCGAAGAGGGCTGGTGATGATGGAGAATTAGAATTTGGGATTAATGCTGCTAATTTTGTTTGAAATCAATATTATGTAGATGATGGCCTTTTATAACTTTCCCACAGGGAGCCTTGATCACTCAGTTTCTCAGTGTAGTGATTTCAAATATTTCACTGCAATTTCATTGTGAAATTAACTGCTTCGTCTTAATTTTGTATTTTAGGAATTGTGGGAAACACCTTTGTTGGGAACAAAAGTAGTTTCAGGGGAGCCATGTAATGGGCATTGATGCCCCCCGTCCCGTCAGAGCATAATAAGAAAAAGACCGCGTTCACAAGTTAATTCTAGTATCAACATCTGTGGCACACTGTGATCCAAGTGGACACCGTTTTGAGTTGGCGTGACCACCACTACAATCTTGTTCAATATTGGTATCATTGCGGTTGACATAAAGACAAAACGAAATTGATCAAAATTACATGAATGTATTACAGGAAAAAAACAAATAGCACCATTTGTTTTGTCAATTATTGAAGATCTTTAAAAATAAATCATCCAATTGGTTTTTGATTTTCAAAAGAATTCTTTAGGGCTTTACGGGTAGCAAGTGTTATCTGCAAACTTCAGAATATGAAATTCATCTACTGAGCAACAACATCAAAAAATTTAGTTACATAGCAAAATTTTCATTTTAGGTTAATAATGATGCATCATTCACTGTAACAGATATTATTAAGTTGTACCAGCAATTCACAAGGGCTAATCATCGCAAAACTACCGTGTTTCCTCGAAAATAAGACCTGATCTGAAAACAAGACCTAATTTGATTTTTAAAAATGATTCTAATTAAACCCTCCCCTCAAAATAAATTTAAAATGTGTGGGAGAGGAAAGGTTCAATAACCTGAGGTGAGGTGGAGATCACACCACTATTCAAGATTGTGTGATATCACAATTATGATATTTGTCACATGATTTATAGGAAATACAAATAAAAACAATGAATGTCGGTGTTTATATAATGTTTAATAAAAAATCTCGTGCTTTTCTACAATGTAATTTTATTTTTAATGTATGAACACAAAAGACCTCTTCCAAAAATAAAAACATAGTGTTATTCTTCAAAAGAAAATAACTCTAAATCCTGTCTAAATTTCAAGGGAACATGGTAATAAGGGCTGTGCAAGTGTACAGTGTACAAAACTGCTATGCGTAAAAAAGCCACATGGTATTTCTTTGTGTAGCAAATTTTTGTTCCTTTGAGAAGATCGTTAAAAGGAAACTTTCACAGATTTGAATTCAATTTAATTTTTTTTTCGAAGATTTAGGTGGTCGCCACGATCGTAATAACCAGGATAATTAATCAAAGCTTTATACATCTTTTTACGACCCACCAAGAAATTCCTTTTGCGACCGATCAGTGAGTCGCGACCCATAGTTTGGGAACCGCTGTAATAGAGGTTACCGTAACTCATTTGTTTATTTGATAGTTGGAAATTAGTTACGCCGGTTATTGTAATTAGTAATATGTATTTCCAGCAATGTGAAAAATCATAGTGACATCATACGGTTTTCTGGGTGAAATTAATTTTGGCGTCATAAGAGAGATGTTCATGTAATATGTTGACATAAATTAATTTGAAAAATGTCGCGAAATACGAAATTTCCGTTGTCCGGAAGACCAGTATGTTAATCACACAAGTATACTAGATAATAAGTTAAATATAAATAACTAATAATAAACCGCGTCACCAGTAAACTTGAAGTAGCTATTTCCATTTGTGCCAAGGGACCAGGGACTTGACCCAAACTACCCTTTTTGTATTTTTAGGAAATCGCTTATCTGGGACTTTAAAGAGAGGGTGTAGGAATATTATTAAAAGGTATCTGGGCATTATTTGATATGAACAATAAAGGTGACATGGCAATATTGTTAGCAGCGGAATGCGGATCGTGGCTTTATATAGAAGTATGTTTAGACAGCAAAAATCGCCCAGCATTACAAAACTGCCAAATTCCTCAAAACCAACTGGAAACGTCACAGTAATTACAAGTAAAAAAAATCTTGTACAAGACGACCAATCCAGCATTTCAATTGTTGTAACGTCGCCCAAAAGATCAGTCTATTAAAATCGGTAACATTAAAATGACTTGCGCTGACCATGTAGTTCCCATCGCTCCCGACAGAGCAGACACAGACTATGTATGACTCACAAGTCTCGTCTGAAGTTTGCACATTTTATCAGAGTGAAATATACCATAACAGTGCCCCAAGTCCCAGATAAGTTTTCGGTGAATTATTGAAATACAATACGATAGCGGAAATTTTTTATTGCTAATCTTCCAATTCTGGTCAAAAGATAACCGGTTAGAAAAGAGAGAATCATGATATATATTTGTAGCCACAATTTAGCAGAAATCACTACATGAAATATAGCTAGGCCTAGAAACTGTCGACAAAAACCAGATTTTTTTTGCTCGAATTTCATATCCAACATTATGTGGCGATAGATGAGGGTAATGTTAAAAATTACAAAAGTTTCAGATTTTTTGCTCGATGAATCCATATAGAAAAAAATAAAGCTCAAACTATTTGGGCGACAGCAAAATGTCGCTCAAATATTCACGTCGCCCAAATACACCAAAAATAATCCCGTGTTGTTGACCAAATCGATAAAATAAGAATATATATATATATATATAACAATAATTTAATTTCACTCCATGATATGGAATAAATACAATCGTGGAAGTAATTTTAACATGGATCGCTTGAAATAGTTTACTCAACCTGGGTTCGATCGAACAGGATTTTGTACTGGAGTTCTCCGGGCTTCATTTTATGTTTCTGGTGTCACAAGATGTTCACTATTCGTTGACTTCTGTCATTTCAATTCGAATACAATTAGATAAGTCTGAATAAGATTTTTTATATATCTCGTATATGAATGGATGAACCGATGGACTAGAGTTTAAATGTGCTTTATGTATGTTTATAAGAATGTCGTACTGGAGTGCAGCATTGAGATGAACAGTCATTTCTCGAAGATGGTTATATTCAGACCTGTATGAAACACGTCATATAAAATTAATTTCTGCCCGGGGTATTTAACAACCAGATTCTGATGGGAAGGTGCGATTGTTTATCAATTTATTTTAGTGTTTCAGTTTAATATGTAACATATGACCTATTGAAAACACGTGCGTTACGAAGACTTTGAGTATGAAAAACACAATTGCAATCGTCTCATTTGTGTCACTCAATGACAGCCGTAAGCACATCGTACCGAGCGTTAGGAATCAAGCCATCTTGCAACTGATTACCGGCTCGGTGGTGTGGCGCATCGTGCCAACTGTTATGAATACGCCTGCCCCGCACCTTTGACTACCTTGCGTGGGTTCGAATCCCGTGGAAATAATCATGTGCGAGGAATTTGCTGGACTCTTCACCGCCGTAGAAGGGTTCACGCCGTCAGGTGGTGTCGGTTAAGGATTCCTCTGCCATCATGTCCATGCAACTGAAACAAGTTTTTTGTTGTTAAAGCAAGCGACCCAAGAGTATTTTCAAACGACTCAGTTTTGGACCCATAGGTTGGGAAACACTGTTCTAAACAGTAGCAGATCCTTACATATCATTAGATATTAGTAGCCGCTTGTTTAGAACCTCATTCGGAGCGAAATGGTGTGAATGGGCGTCAGATGAAAAAAATGCGATTAAATAAATGCCGAAGAAATGTAATGTCAGTTACAGTTCACAATTCAGAAGCCAAAAAGTTGACCAAGAAATAAAGAAAAAATACGATAAAAAAAATTAATTTGGTAATTATGAGTACATATACAATACAATATCCGCAAAACGGAATTCCACATCATTGAGTAACTTTTATCCGGAAAAATATTAAATAAACTTTGACCAATGCCTTACTATTCTCTGGTAATTTACGGCCCACGAGTTATCTAAGACGTTAACATGTGTCAATGTAAGATAATGTTACAATATTTATTAGTCATGATATAGAAATATTCTGCAATCACATAACATTGTCCAGTTCGATGGTTAAATGTAGAATACAAAACAGAAAAGTAAATCATGCTAATTATCCTATGTTAACAGTATGAGATGCAATTTGATGGTGGAAAAATATAAATCTTGTTTAATACTTGTTGAAATATGAACAGATGAGATGTTATTTCAAGTAAAATTATAAAAAAAAATTTTCATCATAGTTTCTCATCTGATCGTGTTTACCGCGTCGCTAAATGCTCAGTGCACCATTATTCTATATGATGAATTATCTCTCAGCATTTCAGAGATAACTTTGATTAGAGATATTGTAAAAAATGAATTAAATTTCAAACAAATTCATCGAACGAATCTCTGACGAATCAGTCAAAAATTAGAGGAAATTGTGTGTACTTGTTAAATAAGCTGTACCCTGTTAAATGTGATTCATAGATGAATATGATTCGATATATTTCTATATATATATGTGCCATATTTGTTCATAAGACGATTGTGATTAAAAAGGACATTTAGTGACAATAAAGTTGTGATATCACTGGTCTACGCAAGTAAAACTACTGAATCTTTTTACCAGTATAGAATTACACAGCATAAATCAAATGTAAATGAGAGGTTTAAATATTTTAAAAATGTTCATTCATTTGGGATAATTTTAGTAAATAGAGAGAATATAACTTGTATTCTCAAGTAAAAAAAATTCATATTATCAAATTACACAGCAAATGTAAACTGAAAATTTGAACATTTAATTCATAATACAATTTCTGTAAATTACGACTTGCCGTGAATATAAAATTCGGATATCAGGTTAATTTTGCCCGTGTGTTTTCCAGATCAGATTTCGACCGATCAATATCATTCTCTCTCTCTGCTGCATCCTCATAATCAGTAGCATTCTGTTTGGCATCAACGGCTCTGATATAAAAAGATTTTGCTCTCGAATATTTCAGTAGATTATAATTTCCAACGCCAATATTATGCAGCAATAAACCGTAAATTCGGTATTTTGAAGCATTTGAACCAAACTGTTTCTCCATAACTACCTGTCCATTTATACATATTTTTATGCATTTGTCGTATTCACCTGTCAGTCCATAGTTATATCCTATATAATTCGAGCACTTAGCTTCAGCCAATGCTTTAATCACAGGGTCAGCGTTTTTTACTGGACGCAGATCGTCTAGCATTTCTGTCATGTATTCTATACCGTAATCAATTCCAATAATTCTAGACCGACCACCGGCTCCTATAATTCCCTCAGTGGCATCATCCATGTTACTGACACAAAGCTCAATCCAATTTATTACATCATTGGGCGATCTTGATTCAGCCTTATACATATCACTTGATATTCGAAGCAATATCATAGCGCGTATGTAGGCGGAATTAGAAATCATTTCGATCGCTAGGGTTTTGACGTCATCAGCACTGGTCACAGATGACGTCCTTAAGATGTTTCGTAGGTTCTCGATAATTTTTTCAGCTTTCTTCTCTCTGCCAAGTTGTATAAAACACTCTATCATTATAAGCATTGTACCTAAATCCTTATGGCTTTGTAAGGTCGTCAGTTCTTCTAGAATCGGGACTGCTTCTTCATACTTAGACATGTCGAATAAATTGGAAGATTTTTCTGAAAATAAAACATTATTTTGTCTAAATATAATTCACACTAAACACAATATGCGGTATATTCCAATACATTTGAACTGAATGGCCTGGCGACTAGAGCCTTTGACCTAGCCATGTTAAGTCACAGATTAGGATCTTGGCTTCAAACCCCCAACGCGGCAACCCGAATCAGAAATATTCCGGAACCTCAAAACAGTATTTATTTATTCACGTATATGTGGCTTATTGTACGCAATATAAATCATCACGAGAAGTGCGGCTCTCGATTATTGAGATCCAGGTGATAAAAGTTAATATTCGTGTTAATCTGTTTCTCGTTGTCCGTGGAATGAAGTCTTTCTGGAATCTATGAAAACTATTCTGTTGAAGGGGAATTTAGGAATTATACTTCAATTCAAACCAATTTTAAAATACTTCGCTTATACCAACTTCGATAATTTTTGCCACATTTTAACAGAATCAATTTTACTTACTTCGAAGCACCAAAATGTTTAGGGCATTAGTTCCACTCTGTGCAGTCGTGGGAGGCGGAGGAGCTACTCTCCGTTTCGGTTGAGGGTTGAGCTTCTGAACACGAGATGGCGGTTGTTTAGATTGACCGGGTTCTTTAAATGTCTTGATATGAAGATCCTGCACTTTGAGATCGCCTGCAGAAGTTTTTCATTTTAAATGGATGAACAATGAGGTACGGTAATCGATGTTACCAAAGTGAATTCTCGCATAATTTCGGGCCGCTAAAAATTCTATCTAATAAATTAGGTTCCTACGTTGAAGATTGATACATAAATTCGGCCAAGTTGGTCCTGTAGTGGGGGTTGTTTGATGGGCTTTTATACGTTGTAAAATGTAAATGAAGGATCTTGAGGTCAAGTCCAAATTCTAACATTTTGGATCTTTTGTGGTAACCCGCCCAAAAAAAAACATCTCCGCCTCCACGCAAAATAATTTTTTTTTTGTAATTATCTAGTTCGGGTTAGGGTGAGGGCTAGGAATGCAGATTGCACTGGAAATTTAAATTTTCAAATCATTCCTAATCTTAACTGAATCATTACTAATAATTTGTTATTTAACATGGAGGGAGTGTTTTTCTCAAATCTATAATTTTTTCATTAGTGACGGGGGCTTTATACAAAACATTTCAACCAAAGGCACAATATTTTTGTGCCTACATTCCGTACAAACCATGTACAAGCAAGCACTTGCAGGTTATGAGCTACTATATTTTGAAAGTATCCGAGTCATTGAATTGGAATTGATTCTTCAAAAGTTTATTATACCCCGAGTAAGGCGGGGAATGAGATTTGATGACGAGTATTTTAACCAGCGATGCCAATTGAGACCAACACTTCAAGTTTTAACCACCAGGCCTTCACGCAGCAGCTCTGACTAAATGTAGTCAGTTATTACTTATCGATCTTGATCGATGAGTATGTTGATATTCATTTGTCTGTTTGTTTGTTCGATCTTGATCGGTAAGTATATTGATAGGTATTTGTTTGTTTGTCTGTTACATACACGCGATATCTCACGAAAGCGAGGTTGAATCTGCTCCAAATTTTGCATGTGCATTCATCATATCTCGGACCAGAAGCCTATTGATTTTGGATGAATCATGTCGTATGATTAGCGAGTTAATAATTAATTAGTGATGGGGCACACGGTGTCACTATGAAGTGAGAGCGGTTGAATCGAAACCGCAGTTTCTGTTTTGGGGGATCTCCTAACTTTCGATCGATAAGTCTTCGATCTCCGATCGATATTTTCGTTCTTTACATCAGTGGCTCCCAAACTCTCTGTTCGTGAGGCGTCGAATTATCAGGAAGAAAAACTCACGGCGTACTTTAAACAAAATTTTACACCTATTTATTTAATGATAGGTGTACGACTGCTGCTCTGAACACATCTTCACAAAGTGCGGTGTTATACTTGATACGCACCAGGGCATATTCACTCTATGGCCGAACGTGACCGGTATTTTGTTTCGATTGACGCCACTGCTGAAAACCCAGCTTTGCAGAGATAAGAAGTTGCTAATGACAAAAGTACACAAAGAGAAGGTAGCTCGCGAACTTTAAAGCAGTTGTGTCTTTTGACATTGTTACGTAACAATATAGCCAGACACTACGTAACAAAGTCAACAACATAGAAAGGTAAAATGAATTCATTGATACATATACACAGCATTTAAAATAAGAAACAATGAAACAGTCATAATAAAGGATTTGTAAAATATTCAATTATGATTATGTTCAACACAATTCTGTTAATTTTCGGGACGCACGTAGCAATCGCCGCGGCTCCTCTTTTGGTAACCGATGCTTTATAACTTTACATCATTAATGAAGGAAATGAACGAATTTGCATTAGAAATTTACCTGTTCGCATTGGCGTTGCAAATGAATCGGGCTGGATTTTCCCTGAGTTGGGCTGAGTTCGGTTGGAGGATGTAGCATGTTCGGCATCTGTTAATAGATAAACATTTTAACTCTGAGGTGTGTAACATTTTTGTCGGAGGGGCATATATTCAACTCCAGACATCTAGCTGAGCCACACAAAAATATAAGCGGAACGACAAGAGAAGAGAATGCGGCTGTCGCTTAGCTTTACATTAATAACTGAACCAGTCAAAGCGGCGAAAAATATAACGCAGCAGCCACAAGGGCAAAATACATTATGTGAGCGCGTTTCAAACATATCCCTTTCGGATTAGGATTTTATGCGAGATGGGGAAAAATCTGAATGATGACAAGGACCTCACTTGACTAAATGACTTGGCGGTCCGGGTCGTGGTCTACTGGCGCATGTTGCACAGCCCTGTTTTAAATAGGCCGATTGCTATATATAAAACAATCTTTAGTATAACGATCAAAAGATTTCGAGCATACACAATCATTTGTTTTGTATACACGAATTGAACACTTTGGTCATTTCGCTAAATTTCTGTCGTTGACCATGTTGGTGTTGAACTTACGCCACAGCGCGTGTGCAAAACGTTTTGGTTTAGACTGTAGCTAAAGCACAAGGAACCCAATCCGAAACAACAAATCAGTTAAAGTTTTAAAAAAGGTTTTTCAAAAATCTTGACATTGTATATTGAGAAGCACTAAAAAATTAATAGAAATGCCTACTTTCAATTTTTATTACTGTTGGTTATTACACCAATATTTTACCTGGTTCTTTAAATGTGACTTGTCTAATTTTACCAGCGCTGATTTCAGTCTTCGACCTGAAAAAATTGGAAAAAACATAACAACATGAAAATGGCACAGGGAAACGGACGTGGTTTGAAACGAATTTAAAAACTATATAAGTTTCGATAACAAAGGCTGTTTATTCCAAGTTTGTCCACAATACCTTGGTTCTGTGGAATTCTCTGACATCTTTCTCGTATTTAATAACTAAAACTGCTTTGAATCTCCATTTACTCTTAGAGTTACATTTTTGGGAACTCTTGAAGTATGCGTACCAAGATGGCGGACACCGGAATATAGTATGTGTACCAGGTTAGGCCATAATTTTTATTTCAATTTTTTTAATTTTAGTTCTATTACGAGTCCGGAGACTAGCCAATTGACTCCCGTAGTATTTTTACCTAAAATGATGGCCTAACCTGGTACACATACTACGTTCCGATGTCCGCCATCTTGGTACGCATACTTCAGGAGTACCCATTTTTGTACAATTTTTCAGTAATTCAGAACTGAGTTTTCTTCACTTTAGAGTGTGAGTGTTTATAAAGCCTTGAAAAAATCAATCTTACTCGACATTGTCTCCTTGAACACTGACAACTTTCTCTCCAAAATAAAGGTGAAAAACTTTTTGATGAGGTTGACCACCTTCTGCCATTTATTTCTGCACGGCTACTCGTTTGGAAATGAGGTTTTCGAGACTTAAAAGCAAATAGGCTAGTATTATTTCTTATAATCTGCAATATTTCTAACAACTTAAAAAGGGTTAAAAATATTAGACTATCGCTGGAAACATATCGTATCCCGTGGAATTTAATTACGTGCGCGATTCCTCTTATCGTTGTACGGTGGTTAACCTAACAGCGGGTCGATTTATAGTCTACATATGACACGGAAACAAATAACTGGTAACCAGACTGGACCGTGGTTTCCCATATTATTCTGCGGTCTTATCGAAACTCTTCTCCTCATGGATGGATAAGAAAATTTAATCCTACCCTAATTTCTCGAAAAAATGACTATCATCTGATATTCTATGCACTGAAACCTTCTAACCACTGATCTGATACGGTGTCCAATTTGCAAAGATGCTTTTTCCGACAGTGATTTCAAACATACTGCTGCAGTATGATGTTGTCAATTTTTCTAGAACGTATTTGAGATCACTGAAATAAACTGTTTGGAATAACGAATATATAATTGCTTGTTGCATTTGTCGTGTGTATCAGAGTAATTTCAGTGAGATGAGGAAAATAAAGAAATTAACTTCTGCTTTAGAATCTTATTAGATACTTGATCTATAACATACAAAACAACTTTGAACTTTCCAAGATTTCTCAGTAGTTCAAACACTAACATTTTAGATTTACCATGTATATGAAATCATAAAAGCAGATGCCTTCGATTGTAAATTAATCTAAATCAACTATCTCAAAAAATACTAGCAAGCCTTTCTTTAAAATAAAATGCTAATGCTATAAATGCTAATTGAATTGAGGTACAGAGGAACTAGTTTGCTTACTTATCACAGAAAATGAGACCTTGGTCGACCGATTAGATTAAATGCGCGTGGGATTCATCATCTGCTCACACGTTTTAAGAGTAAATAATATTGAGAAAAAGAAATCGTAGACTGGGCTTACTTTGTCATGAACTGTTATAATGTTTTAGGATAAAAGAAAACATCTGAATCGGAAATTGAAACTATTTTAGTTTATTTTTCAAATGTCGATGAACTGATTCGAATATTCAAGGCTGGAACATAACATCTTAACATCAAGCAAAGGAACCAATTGCCAGGTAGCGACTCTGTGTGTTTATGGTAGCTTTGAGCGTTCCATTATGTTTTTATTTTTGATTGTTGAGAGTTGAATAACCATCTAAAACAGAGGTCTCCAACTCAAAATATGTCATGGGCCACTTTTTGAACTTTATCGACGCGGGCTACACACCAACTAATTAGGTATAAAATTGATTCATAAAAATAACAAAAGAAATCTGAATGTATTTGTTGAAATTACACTTGAACCTCACACCATACGAGACATGAAACATATTCATTTACTTGCGCTGGATATTTGGCACCGTTTTGTATTAACTTTGCAAACCTTTATTCGGACACAATGATCAGACCAAAACTCGTTTATTTCGTCATAATAAAAATGCGTAATAAAATTATTGATAGTCATAGTCATAGTCAAGTTTTTTTTCCAACCAGTAAAATAATGAATGATGAAAAAAATAAGCAAAAATTCAAGAACATAATTTTACTGGGGAAGTGAAGCCGTGGGGAACCAAAGTTGGTTATCTAGCAGCGGCACCCAGGATTCAACTATCTAATTAACATATAATTTTAGTAGATCAATATAGCATAGTATAGTTTAACGAGAAATCATCATGACACTAGGGTGTATCTGAGAGCCACGCACTACATCAGAATTTACAATTTAATTCTTACAATAGAGTAAAATATGGGTACTCCTGTAGTGTGTGTACCATGGTTAGGCCATAATTTTTTTCCGTATTTTAGATCTATTTCGAGTTCAAAACTGTCTGTGTTAGCCAAGTGAATGGGCTTCCGTCCATTTATACAACTTGATGTAAAATAAGGGAACAAAATTAGTTACCTCCATATTGGTACACACACTTCTAGAGCACCAAAATGTAAACGTCGTAAAGTGGAATAACGAAGGGAAATTTTTGTTTCACTTTTTACAGTTTGTCGGATCAGACTCTTGATGTTGAATAACACGATAAAACTTACTCATAGTTGATATCGTATTATTTTAGTTTTTGTGAAAAATCTTAATCATGACGCGGGCGTAAAAAAACATGCGGCCCGCGTGTTGGAGACCCCTGATCTAAAAGGTGAAAGAAACTTTGGGCTATATGCTTAATATAGATTCTGCATTACTATTAGATGAGGATGAGGTTTCAACTTGTTCAGACGTTCGGTCAATTCAAATGGTGAAGAGTAGATAGAGAACTATATTTTAATAAGCAACATAAATATATATAACGATCAGTAGAAGTTGCGCGAGACTAACTCCCAATGATTTCTCTATGCCTTTGCGCGCAACCTCTACTGATCGTTATATTAGCCTTTTCGCGTGACTTCTGTATCCGAATGGATCCTGCCAAACTCCGGACTATAGACAACTACCACAAGAAAAGAATTTAGAAGCAATACTAAAAAGAATTCAACGCCTTTAAAAGAATCACATTAAAAGGACCCTGGCTATCAAGATCTGAGCCTAGAACACATTGATAAATGTTCTAGTGAAACTTATTGTGAAATCAAGCACGCCGCGGAACAATTATTCCATGCTGAGAACCGATCGCATTTTTTTATTTCGCAATCTGTTTCTGAATATCAATATTTGTTTTTTCATTGTTTGGTCACAATTAATTTCAAACAAATTTATTTATCGCCATATTTAAAATGCATGATTGCTCTTTTCTTGTCATTGTTGTAAACTGCTTGTCTGAGGAAGTCTGATTTTGGACAGACGAAACGTTACAAAAATATATTTGTGTTAGTGTGCAGCAGGACTCTTGAATTGCATATTATAAATATATATTATGTAGAAACTCTACTTTCTATACCTAACTTAAAAAAAACATACCGGTATGTATATTATACATATAACATAACTCATAATGAGGTAGGGGTGTTCCGACACTCGAAACCCCCTGCAGACAGGCGTTTATGATTAGGCCCGGAGAGTTCAGGTAGTTGGTGGCATTAGACACGGGAAATGTGGTGAGAGTTTACGATTCAGATTATATATGATGATATCTGCGCATTACATAGATCAGAGTTTCCCAAACTTTTTGGGCCGCGGACCCCTGTTTGTTAATCTTATTTTTGACGAACACCCAAGTCGCGGCCTGTATTTTGTTATCATATTGGTAAGAGCTGAAATTGCTGCCTAATACATGTATGACTTTGCAAACGCGATAAAATTATGATTTTCTTGCCTGACAGCAATTGATACCGATATTCGTCCGCAACGCTCAACCAAAAAGACGCATTGGAATCAATCCTTAAAGTTCGATCAGATTCGCTCCATATCGTTGCGGACCCCTGGTGCAGTCGTCACGGACCCCCAGGGGTCCGCGGACGCCAGTTTGGGAAACTCTGACATAGATTATGGAAGGACATGGTTTTTCAGTGTTCTCTCAGAATGAGGCATTCGACAAGAAAGATTATTAATATGCAAGTAAACACATCAAAACTGGTCATCATCTTTAACACCACGCTCACTTGTGTCTTGCAGAAGGGGTTCGCTGATTATAAGACATTCCAAGAACGGGATCGCGCGACACCTTACGAACCTCCAGAATTCCACCACTGCTTGTACCCGCTAACAATCCAATCAGCTAAGTTGTTCAACTAATCGGTTTGTGAACAATTTATTGTTTTATTGACACACAGATGAATATTTTGAACACGAAAACTATGCAACATCAATGAATAAGACAAACTAATGCAGTAAACAGTATAGAATTACAATTGTCGACCTCAATAAATAATGCTTATTCGAATACTTGAATACTACTCTATGCAATGAAGATTAAAAAAGTTTGAACCGTAAATACAAAGAAGTACAATGTAGCTGTGACCTCTCGGATAAAAAATAGCATAAATCAATCCTGCAGAATATTTTCAGTGAAAACGTGTGGCAGACAACGATCTAGCGCAGCGGTTTTCAGCCTTTTGGGTGGAGCGGAACTGTAATGAAACATTCTAGACTCTAGTCTAGAGGCTCGAGGAACCCCCCGTGCAATAATTTAATTGTCTATTGTTGTCTGAATTGTAAATTATACACACAAATATAAGCAAACCAATTGTAAGCAGAACAAAATGATCTGCAAGTGAAGTGTAGCAAGTTTAATAACAGTCGCAAAGGTATTTGATTATATTTAAACAATACACCGGTGTATATATTTATATGTCTTTGATTTGAATAGAAATTCGGAACCCCTGCACTGTTGTGGCGGAAGCCTTTGACGCCACGAAACCACGGTTGGAAACTACTGAGATAAAGTAAAAGGTAGGAAACCCATTTTAGTGGATAGTTATGGGACGACAATTAACAAATAATTAGGAGTTTTATGTTCAACAATTTAGTTGAAACATAGATTTTCATAGTCATATTCTTATTGTTGCCCGTCTGAGAAAGCCCGACTTTGGTCAGTCGAAACGTTACAGAAATACATCTGTGTTAGTGTGCAGCAGAACTCTTGAATTGCATACTATATATATTCTTATGATCATTTTTTTCTTCAGCTCCTTCTTCGGAATTTTATTCTCGGGGAAATCTGTCACATCGCTTGCTATTTGTTTAGATTTTTTGATCAAAATACCACTCCGCTAATCACCCAGGATACAAATAGATATAGATCGCTGCGTGTTCCTTCAACGTGATATCCCACCCCTCCAAGTTTAAGCTTATTACAAGCCCCTTCTTACGATATTCTTCAGCTTTAGAAAGGAAGTCATGGCCAATGAAATATGGTGCGACACTCATCCAAAGCAAACACCTGTGCTTTTTGTAGGTTGGCGCCACAAATAATTTCCATATGGTTCAGCATACTGTTCATTAAATCATCAAACTGTTCCAAAATTTTGAACCACAAGCCAAATTGTCTCTGCATAGGCGACTGGGCAATTTTTTTCTTTGCCTGCTTTTTCTTTGCCCCTTTTCTTTAGGATTTTTTCTAATTGCTTCACTTGATCGATATATGCACATTGCTATTCGAAACATATCATCAGAAATAAACGCAATGCATGCAAATATTACCATAGCTTTTGAAATTTTCT